ACCGGCCCAAAGCTACCATGCCCAGCTGGGTCATGATATGCAAAGACCGGTTAAATAACAAGGAGGTAATTACTAAACTGTAAACTGTCCTTGGAACTACGCAGGTCAAAATGAACGCACGCTCCGATCGGTGTGAATGTGTGTTGCCACCTACACCTACGAAACAGGCCATTCGTCCAGCGGCACAAGATAATCGCCCAGGCCGCAAACAGGACGAGTTGAGAATTAAGTGAAGCCTGCTCCTCCGATGAGAACCTAATTAATCGATGCACTTATCCGTCACCGGCATACGCAACTCTACGCAGTCACACCAAAACTAGCGCCACTGACCATTGATTGGCTTGTAGTATTTTTCTCTTTTTGTTACTTTTTCTCACGATGGATTTCTGAAGGAACCAGAAACCTCAGAATAATAAACGAATGCTTCTGGTGTTCGACCAGCCTTATCCTATAAATACTGCAACTCACTGTGTATTAATTAGCCGTTTCTGCTAGTGACTCTGATGATGGATCAGCGACGAATTCCAAGAGGTCAGGCTAACAAAGTTCTTGTCTCAGCGATCACATCTGCTTCATCTCAATTATTTCCTGGGACTCGCATTTTCTCTTGTATTAACAGTTTTTACACTGTTATGCAGCCTAAACACTTTATAGTCCATTATATATTAGGATGGTTTCATTAAAATTATATCTGCAAACGTACAAATATACGCATCCTATAGTATTACCAGGTACTACTGCCATGTGGCAATAACGTAGCGTATATGCAATCAACCGAGGGTAAATCAACAAAAAGAAACATGACTCGAAATAAAAAAAGGCTCATTGTTCGCAGAAATCTGTGAAGCGGCGAAAAATTAAAGGTCGGAATGCCATATAGCCAGGAATTACTGCAAACCAAAGTAGACGTTAATCGTTTCAAGGACACTCACTGACATTGCACAAACACTCTGCTCGGATGCCAAGTGAACTCTCTGAGGAGAAGAGTGCCTGCATCTTAGGTTAACGGGAGCAATAACAATGGGCGGACAGGTGAAAGAGCCAAATGGAGTCAGCTGCAGATTTAGCAGCAAAGAAAAAACGTATAGCGCGAGCAGCAGCCACATTGGCGGCCCTTATTAAAGTAGTAGTCTGAGTAATAGTGGTAGTGGCATAAACAGCAGCGATAGTCGAAATGCACAGGCTGAAGTGACCAGTAAAAAAGCAAGTGAGTTGGCAAGGCGTGGTGGCGCAGCTGACTGATGAGCACTCACAGAGGATCGAGAAGGAGTGTTAGCTGGTAGTGGAGCGTTTTGACCAGAGGCTCGAGACTCCTGCTCTTCGGCAATGAGGGCCGCTGTCCCCGGACCACCATGATCCTGAAGACTCAGCTGCAAGGCGAGATCGAGCATCTGAAAAGGCGAATGGGAAGCGCATCGTTCATCGTTGGAGGATGGAAGGCAACAGCAGAATTCAAAGATCAAAGAAAAGGATGCAACACCCTTCCTGAAAATCTAAATATTGATAAGAAAAAATGCTCAAGGCCCTTGCAACGCCGGTCCGATGATCAGGTCACAAACATTGGCTGGTGAAAAAGGAGGTCTGACGAAAGTCGAAAAGACGAAGAATTGCAAGAACACTCAGAAATAATTTAGCTGCGATTCCTTCTTTAAAAGCTTAACACCACTGGCGCAAAAGGTAAAAACAAGTTGAAGGGATAAGGAGGGGATGGGGTGCAAATAATTGTCGGGCGTTTAAAATTAGGGACACCACAAGGCGAATTGAAGGAATTTACGAAAGAGCGGTTCGAGAAAGTCCTTTCCGCAAACAAAAGACAGTTCGATCTACTTGGTCGT